CTCGACTGTACATGCATTGGAGTCAAAGAGAAAGACCTCGTGTGAACACTAGAGAAGACCCCCGTGATGAAGAGAGCAGCACACCCCTCGCACCTGGGAGAAGATCGCAAGAAAGCTAGACCCTATACATGCATTGGAGACAAAGAGAAGACCTACTACAGTAGGTATCCCGATATAGTGCCGGTTGAATAGTGCCAAAGTCCGGTATAGTGCCGGTAATTTTTCTTGACACAGACACAGGCCTGAATAGTGCCAAACCTTCACTATTGAGGGATGCCCGCTATAGTGCCGGTTCAGGCACTATCGAACCCCTCAAATAGTGCCGGTTCACATGTCCCACACAGCCTTTTTGAAAAATAAGTAAATACTTCCTCTGTCACATAAGTAAAGTCCGTTATGATTACACGGCCATTTAGCCGTGTCCGATGTCGTAGGCGATAACTTTTTTTGAAATCTTGAGCGTTTTTCGGGTTGAAACCCATATTGCTTTTTTTTTCTTGCGCACTACCCTGCATGCACTAGCGGCTTACAAAAAAGTAGTCAGGCCAAAAAAGGCCGTATTTTGCCCCTTTCCATGAGGGTGGGGGTGGGGGCACGAAACGAAACATACAAAAAAAAGACAAGAATTATCCCGAACCCTAAACCCAAGGTTACCTCTACTGAACGATCCATTTCGCGTCCTCCCATACAAAACCAACATAGTAGTGAACCCACACTAACATCAAGACATTTTCGAGGCCCACACTAAAAACAATACACTTGCCTCAGCGTGAATGACCGATTCTCCTTGTTGACCTTGCGCAACGCCGCGGCCTTCGTCGGAGTGAGGAGCGATGGCCGCCCACTCCGACGTTTGTTTGAAAGGTCGAGCTCTCCGGTTTCATCGATCTGCGCTTTGCATTCCGCCCAATGTTTTCTGGGGTAATCACTACCAACGCCGTACCGCTCGGCGAGGGGGCCTAGAAAGCCCTTGGGTACCCTTTCTTTGCCCGGCGGAATCGCGAACGCTATCTCCACCGCCATGGCGTACCGACGACCCAACGATACTTCCGCACCCCGCTTACGACGTGGGGGTGTCTGGGCGTCGTCCCCCATGATAGCTACGTCGTTGTGGTGGTAGTGGGTGCTCACACAGCACAAAGCTGCAAATCTTATTTAAAATATTCTCAAAATGTTTTCAAAATATTTCCAAAATATTCGCAAAATAGTCCCGTATTTGACACACTAATTCTCAGTAACTGTGAGTCGGATTTTTTTTTTTAAGTTATGGGCGTAACAAGCGGTTTCCAACAAACCTAACTAGAGCTTCAGGAACACCTTGGCTGGTGAGGTATGTAAATTCCCCCATAACGGACTTTACTTATGTGACAGAGGAAGTATGCTCTTACTTACAGTAGCCCTCAGTTCTGGTTCCGCGGGGGCTATGGGGCACGATGATTGACACAACCAGCACGCCCCCCCTCATGTCCAAGGTCTCCTCCTCGTCCGATGTCGATGTTTCGATGTCAGGCCAGGCGCACGGGCTCTTCGTCCCCGCTGGGCCTGATATTCGACCACGGCTGCNCCACGCAAACCACTGGGTGGGGGGGTCTGTGATAGTAGTACTGCTTTGTCCCAGCAGACAACAACAAACAGGCTCTCTGCTGTCACCCAGCTTTCCATGGGCTACTCAATGCAAGCAGCAAAATGATAGTCTACGCAGCAAAATCGATTAAGCAAACATATGGGATAAAGTATTCAATCCGTGCTTTGGGGTTTAGGGTTAGGGTTAGGGATAGGGTCTGCGTGCCCCCTCCCTATTCTTTTTCTAGATACTCTTAAAATCTCGCTTAGGCGGTCCCAGCAGAACAGACTCCATCTAGAGCAGCAGTAGTATCTACAGCAGTGAGCGAAATTGTGCGTGCATAGAAGAGGCTGACTACTGTGTCCTACATCTAGCGTACAAGGGGCTCCATCGCAAAGCATCACCAGAGGAGGCTGGCTCTATCAAGTGTGTTTCTTCTTGTGCTGCAGCTGGTGCTGCTGCTGCACACCTTTGTACGCTATGTGTGTTAAGCCCTCGCTGTGTGTACCATGGCACCGCTGTGATGGACGGAAGCTGTGCGTGTGAATCTCTCGCTGTGTGTACCATGGCACTGCTGCGTGACGGTACATGTAGGTACTCTGCTCTACATGTTGGC